TTATGTTTGCCATTCTAACAGTTCATTTATTACGGTCTCTGACAAAGGACACAGGTTTCCCACCCCCCCTTCCTGCAGAGAGTGTTTGCTGACAGGGCAGTGGCCACAAAGGCACTCTTACAGAAGTCCTGCTCACTGTGACACCCGGCCATTGAAAACAATTCACCCACAGGCCTATCCGGGGAAGACATCACCCGGCCCCCCAGCCCCCCACAGCCTACAATGAGCACGTTGCTAGGCGAGAGACACCTCACCATCAATTAAAACAATAAAAGGGTTGCAGTAAATAGATAGAAACCAAATGTTCATATTTCAAAAGGAAATTCTATCCTCCAAAGGGTCAGCCTGACTATGGAGAGGCTTCATGGAAAACAGATGCAGATTACAGTTTAAAAACTGCAAGTGATTATACGTACTCTTATCCCACTGCACTTATTCTGCGCTGCTACATTCAATGACTGCCCACAGCACTAGTGAATATTGATCATTAATGGGCTGTTAGTACTGATTTGCACCAAGCCCACAAAACTCTCCAATATCACTTCACAGCTGTTTGTGAGGACATTGCTGTGTGAAACTGGCTGCTGCGTTCGCCTACATAATGCGCAGTCACTAGGCTTTATAGTAAATCCTGTGAAGCATTTTGAGACATCCTGCTGACTTGAAAGGATCAGTATCATGTTAAATGCAAGGATTATTAAATTAATATTATTCCATAGGAGGTGCTGAATTGAAATGTCACGACAGTTAATAGCAATGAAATTAATGTCAGACTAAATATGTCATGGGCAATCGGTACCAAGGAATGTTAACTATAATATCTTATGGGGAACCTAATGTTTTCAGAAACTCCTTAACTGTCATGTTACGAGCTTGTCTCTGCTGAGGCCAAGGCTGCAGAATATGAACTTCCCATTTTCAAGAGCTTCCGGTTCTTTTGATGATATTGATTGGCTGATATACTTCACACCACTGCCTCTTTCAAAAAAAACCACACAACATCAAAAAAGTCCATATAAAGAAAGGTCTGAAACACTGTCTCTGGTTCATATCGGGCCGTCCTCATTTCCCATTTCTCGGTCCTTGTTAGGACTTGAGAGAATCCTGAGTAATACGGAACCATTTTGGGGTATAATCAGATTCATAGCATCCCTTTCCCTTACATTTTATTTTGAATTCATTTTCTCTTTCTTTTGAAGTTCACCTCTCCCTCTCTCTCTCTCTGTCACCCTTCTCCTTTCCCCCTCCATGTCTCACAGTATTTCCTGACGGACTGAATGAGTGAATATTTGACCAGTCACTAGCCCTCACCCCACACCGTACACTGACTGACCAAAATGCACTTAATTGCCAGAAACTATGTTGTTAAATGGCTGAACTCAGAACTCGAAGATCCAAAGTTCCATTACAACTATCCCACTGAAGCATCTGGGCAGCATAAAGGGGACTTCGAAGATATCATTTGAAAGATACAAAGGTTATCATTCCAATTGCTCACTCAATTCTGTATCTCGGGATTGGGATGGACACCAACCACACACATGGACTCGAGAAGCTTAAGTTAAAATAATCAATACTGTTTGCTCTTCCTTGCCTTTTCAATACACTCTAAAGAGCATGTGTTTGTCTACTTGCTTGGCTTGTTACCATTCAGGTACTTTGCTCCTGCTCTCCAGGACTCCCTCTCAGAATCCCTCCACCTCCATCCCTCTGCTGCACTCCTTCTCTCTTTGCTTTCCACATCCGTCTAAAAACCTACCTCTTTAACTGCACCTTCAGCCCCTACACTTCCCCCATCTCCTGCCCTGCTCAGGGTATGTATAGTACTTGTATAGTACATGTTGTTGTTGTGGTTGGAATATCTGTGGCACAGACTGGAGATTTTGCCAGAGCGATCCATCTTAGAAGCAGAAAAACTGAATTTTCAGCACTAGTTGATACAAGCGGTGTAAGATGAGAGGTTAAGCACAGCAGCTCACCTCCCCACAATGGCACCGACTGGTGTTATGATCAACAACAACAACAACAAATTACATTTATATAGTGCCTTTCAAGTCGGGAGGACGTCCCAAGCCGCTGGATCAGTGGACCATCCATTTGCAAACATGCCAAGGTGAAAGGATGGCACGTGACTGTCAATTGGAGAATGATGTTTTGTGAGTGAAGATTGATTTTTTGAGTGACAGCTCCAAGATTCAATGCTTGACTCCCCACCCCCCCTCCACAATCCCCACCCCCCTCCCTCGGATCATCCATGTGCAATGTGACAATGATATCGGTACAATGCTGGTACACCTTATGTTATTGGTGACCAAAAACAAATACTCTGCATAATGCAAATGAGTAGCAAATTCTAAATATTGATGAAAATGAATAACTGCTCTGATTCACCGTCTCTGTCTGCCTGGGTAAGAGATCTGAAGTATTGGGACTTTACCGAGGCCCAGTGATAGATTGTCTCTGAATTTGCAGTAAGGACACAAGGGATTTATGGCATGTGAGATGTATATGGAGTGCAAGTCATAAAGTGCCCACCACACGTCAGGAATGCAATACCCACCCCCACCCTCCAAGCAGCTGTAAGGCATGTGGACATCATGCTATAGCACAGTACTGCTCACTTGGCCTAGTACTAACTGCATTAACCAGCAATTCCTCGCAACAATATCAAGATCTTCAAATTTAGAAGACAGAACGCAATCGAGTTTACAGTCTACTGCCTTATTATAGCACAAGTGCTTGAAGAGGATTATGATCACAAGTACATTCAGTTATTCTGCTGATTGATATGTATGTATGTACTTATGTACATATGTATGTATATGTATGTACGCAATGCATGTATGTATGTATGTTATATGTGTGTGTGTGTTATCTTTTTCTACCTCTGCCACTGCCGTCAAAAAACCTTCTGAAAAACATATCTGCTCTACAGTGACTTTGACCTGTATCTTTCCATCTCTTACTGCTCTGCTCGTCGTCTACTGCTATATTTGGCAAGTGCTTTGAGACATTCTTTTATGTGAAGGTGCTGTTGTGGGTAAAGCTTCCTTTCCGACTGCGCTCCCAGTCAGTTGTGTGAAATGCTTTGTGCTGAAGTGAGAGGTGCAGTATGAATGTAAATTACAATTGTGTGTTTGTGTGTGCGTTCAGCCGGGATCCCACTCCTGACCACTGTCCACTTTCCTCTCCTGGAGGGACTACATGTACCATAAAGGGAGCACCATCCTATGATGGCCCCTTGCTTGAATGGCCTGCTGACACTCAGTGCTGCGAATTAAACACAGCCACATTGGCGAGATATTAAAGGGTGAACTTGTCATGAATTAGGAGAGATAGGAAAATAGGAGGAGGAAATACAGTATGTACTAAATGGGAACACGTCCTATTACTGTTGCTGTATACAGGGGTGTCTCAATTATTTGCAAACTGAGCCCCCCAGTCAGAAAATGATTAGTTACTGGGAATAGAGTGATTGAATGTCAACACAAATATTTAAGTTACTCCGAGTGTTGTAGAAGCCAACAGCTTATGTTCGTATAACTAGTTCTTGTTTATTGAACAGGGAAACTAAAAGATATCATCGGAGTTCCCCTCCACTTGAAACGCAGAATGGAGAAGTGCGAATTGTCAAGTTATTGTGGCCAAAAATTGCCAAAAAAAACCCCGAGTGCAGCAATATATTAATACTCACAGTAACCTGAACATTAAATACGCTTTATACATTGCAGCTATTCTTGAGGTGAAAAATGTGTCATTTCTCGTGTCCTGTGTGCAGTATTTCAGTCGGCATTTTCTTGTCCTGATCTCAGTCAAAGGCATATCTTTTTTTACAGAATAGAAAAACCTCATTGTAATGTGATCCCATATACATGTGCCTGCAACTAATGGGTCAAATGATTATTTCTCCCCTCCCCCTCCAAGTTCCCCCTTTTCTTTTTATGTGTGCAAAGTGGGTTGTTGGTGGCGATGCGGGAGGAATAAGGAGAGCGAGAAAACGGATGGAACCCCCTCCCCCCCCCCCCCCACACGCAGACACAGACAGACACAAGAATCAGCAAATTACAACATTTGACCCCGAAGAAGAAATAAAAACCTATTATAAGCGCCGTATATTGCGAAGTTGTCGCCTGGGTAACAGCGGGCGGCGTGAGGGGTGGGTGGTGGGGGGGCGGAGCGGAGAGAGGGGGGGTGGGGGGGGGTAGAGGCGGCTGGGTTGGGTTGGGGTGGGTGATGGCAGGCGTTGGCGGGTGGCTGCGAGGAGCATTGCAAGCGAATTTTTTTTTGGTGTCGGCCGTGGGTGGGTGTGGTGGGTGGGTGGGGTGTCTGGGTGTCCGGGCCGGGCGGGGCGGGTGGGTGTCTGGGTGGGTGGGGGTGGGTGTCTGGGGTGGGTGAGCGGGTGGGTGTCCGGCGGGGGGCCGGCGGGGGCCGGGGTGGGTGAGCGGGTGGGTGTCCGGGCGGGGGGGTGAGTGTCCGGCGGGCGGGGGGGGGGGGCGGGCGGGCGGGTGTCAGGACACACATGGGGACCCGTCGCCGTTGCTTTGAGAGCATCCGAGCCCGGCTGGGAATTCCATGCCTCCCCCCCCCCCACACTCCCCCCCCACACATGGACATCCCAGAGATAAGGTTGTCGGAATGGAATGGAATGCTCACTCCCTGTCCCCGAGGGGCACCTCCTGGGAGAGGAGCGGGTGCGGAGGGAATGGGGGGGGGAGGGAGGGGGGGGAAGAGAGAGAGAGAGAGAGAGGGAAAGGAGGAAGAGAGAGAGAGAGAGAGGGGGGAAGGGGGTAATGGGGAAGAAGGGAGAGAATGATGGTGGGGGGAAGGGAGGGAGGTGGGGGGGGGATTGTGTGAGAGGGCGCGGGGGGGGGGAGGGGGTGACGCTGAGCCAATGGGGAGGCTGAGTCCCCAAACCTGCCCTAATATGGCTATAGAGCGGAGTGGGCGGGGCCGGCGCGGGCTGTGGGCCGATATAAGGAGCGGCCCCGCGCGCTCGAGGCACTGAGGCTTCTCTCTCTGTCTCTCTCTCTCCTGCGCGGGGACAACACCAACAGCACCAATAATCACTCTGCACGGTAAGGCGGCTCCTCGCTCCCTCCCTCCCTCCCTCAATCTATCTATTTATATATATATGTATTTTAAAAAGAACCTTTTAATGTAAAACCGTTCGCTTTGATTGTGTATTTCTGGTGCGGTTTTTTTTTCCCCTTCAAATTTAAATTTTTTAAAAATTTAAATACGTGGATATATTAATGTATCGTCGGTGTCTCCGTGTGTGTGTATATATATATGTACATATACAAATGGGCGCACGTTGTTTTAAAACGAAATAAGAAAAAAAAATCGACGGGTCTTTTATTTCTGTTATTTTTTGTGGGTCGTCGTGCTTTATGTTAGGTGGGAAATGGGGGGTGTGGAGACGATTAAACTTTTACATATCCATCTGTATTATGTAATATGAATATGTAATATAAAATATGAATGCATTAATTAAAACTTGAGGGTGTGGGTGGGGGGGGTGACGAGAAAGGAAAGAAAAAAAAATGTGTTTTAATGTATAATTTTATTGTGGTGTGTGGGGAGATTTAATCTGTATAGAGATGTAGACTGATATGGATTCTCTCTCTCTCTATATATATATATATCTATATGTATTAGTGAATGCGTCAGGGATTTTTTTTGGGGGGAGGGGGTTTGAAGGTGGATTTACATTCTTCTTAACACTCCTCTCCCTCCAAAAAAAACCGGTAGCGTTTGAAAAAGCTGTTGAGAAAGGGGGGGGGAAAAAAGGGAGGGTTGGGGCTGGTGGGGGGGCGGGAGCCGGTAATTATCTCTGTCTGTCGACACTGAGGGGGGAAATTATTGAGGAATATATATATATATGTGTGTATTAGTAGATTGAAAATTGGGTGGGTGGGGGGGGGAGAGAAATAGGGGGAAGAGAGAGTGAGGGGAGGGAGAGCAACAGAAAGGCGCGGAGTCACGCGAGGTGCGGCTTCTTTTTGTGCTTCAAACAGACGGTAGTGAGTGAGTGAGTGAGTGGGGGTGTGGGGGGAGACAGAGGCGGTTTGAAGGTTGAATTAATGGCGTGTGTCCCCCCCCCCCCCGGTCCCGGGTATTTGTGCGGAGGCTCTGGGTGTGACCGTTGGAAAAACGGACTTCCGGTGGCTGTTGTGTGAGCGGCTCCTGCCTTATATGGTGATGTTGGAGCTCCAGGGGCGTGGCTCTCCCCCCCCCCTCCCCCCCCATCACTCCACACCCGGCGATCGCCCGCTCCCGGCAGTTTGGTGGCTTTTCTTTTTTAAATAGTTTTTTTGGGGGTTTTGGTTTTTAGGGCGTGGTTCTGATTGTCTGTATAGCGGGGGTGGGGGGGGGGGGAGTGGGAGTGGTGGGGGGGGGGTGATGGTGATGATGATGGTGGTGGTGAGGGGAGGAGGAGAGGAAGAAAGAAAAGTGTCGCAATCATCAATCACTCCTGCTGCCCGCAGGGAGGCGACTCGCAGCAGTCGGGGCTTTCTTCACCATGTGGCTGGGGGGTGGCTTCAGGTTGGCAGGTGTATTGCAGGCGGTTTTGAATGGGGAGAGATGCAGATGGTTCTCTTTCCCCCCCCCCACCCCTTTCCTCCACGGGGGTGGGAAACCGCGGTGCCCTGATGGTAGGGCGTGTCTGTCTGGAGCACTTCTCAGACGGGGATGGGTGGTGGTGTGGGGGGGGGTCGGGGAGAGAGAGCGAGACGCCCGACTTGTCTCTAATCGCGAGTGGGTGATTGTGCTGCTCGTTGCTATTTGGGGTTCCGAGGGGCTTAGTGAAAAGGGCTCCTTTACTCCATGGGACTGGAGCTCGATGGAGAATTTGGGTGATGAGGTGGGTTTATTAAAACAGGGACGAGATGGTCAAAATTTTATTTTCAGGCACGGCAACGCTTTTGTATCTTTAATTGGCAATAAAGCCTTTCCCCGAGTTTGCTGTTGCCACCAGACTTTCTTCAGTTGGCTCAGTTTTAGGGAGTGGCAACCAGCCCTTAAAACGCTTTGAATCAGTCTGTTAATGAGTCTCGGGGCTGGCGGACTGCCACGCCACTGCGAGCTGCACAGACTATTGCCTTTTATGGTAATGCGAGAGGATAGAGGGTTTTTCTTTGTCCATTAGGTCTAAACTGCAAAACTAGCGCCCTCTGGTGTTAAGACTGCAACATGACAACTGGGGCCAGGCAGGAAGTGAAACGCGAGCGTGGTGGGGCAGCGGGGAACTGAAGATGCAGGAAGCATCGACTTCAATGCTAATTGACATTAGCCCCAGTAACATTAAAGTTGTTTTTGCTACAAGACTTATAGCCATAAATCTAGAAATTGTAAGACTTTCTTTTTGGCAAATTGGAAACTAATACCTACTTTTTTTCTTTGTTTCAGAATTAAGATCTAAAAATGGAAGACGATATCGCTGCACTGGTTGTTGACAATGGCTCCGGTATGTGCAAGGCCGGTTTTGCTGGAGATGATGCCCCTCGTGCTGTCTTTCCATCCATCGTTGGTCGCCCAAGACATCAGGTATGAATGATGCTGTTGATCAAAAAGGGTGTCTTTCTATTTTTTAAAAAAAAACAAAAAAATTCTGCAGGTAAAATTACTCTGGCTGAAGATCAGTCAGTAACGTTTGTGTTCTTCTACTAGGGTGTGATGGTTGGTATGGGACAGAAGGACAGCTACGTAGGTGATGAAGCCCAGAGTAAAAGGGGTATCCTGACCCTTAAATACCCCATTGAGCACGGTATTGTCACCAACTGGGACGACATGGAAAAAATCTGGCATCACACTTTCTACAATGAGTTGAGAGTCGCCCCTGAAGAACACCCAGTCCTGCTCACAGAAGCCCCCCTGAACCCCAAAGCCAACAGAGAAAAGATGACACAGGTACAGACTATTGTGCAACACTCATAAGAAACTGCCTCACTGTCACTACGCTGAAGTCTGTCCTGTCTGAAAATCTTTCTTTCTTTCCCTATTACCTCCTTCACAGGAATTCTTTCCGAGGTGACATTCATTCTATCCTGGTCCCTCCCTCCCCTTCAGGTTTCATTTGCTTTCACATCTTGTGTTCACTTAACCCTGATGCATGGGTTGTTTTGCTATTCTAATCTGTCAAAATTCTGCTCTACTTTGCATTAGAAGCTTGCATTGTGAGATAGTGTTTGTAGATATTTACATTTATCTTGGCTAATGCCAATATCTAGATGAAGGACAACTTTTAAGTCATGTTTTGGGTGAGTAATTTGCCATGAGAACATTGCATGCATTAACAGATTAGATCTATTTGGTTTCTTACAAATCACAAAGTTAGCATGTAGATGATACACAGTTTGAACATTTGATACAGCATGGCTTAAACACCACAGCAGTTTCAGTTATGTGACCAATTAATTTTTTTTCTTACAGATCATGTTTGAGACCTTCAATACCCCAGCCATGTATGTTGCCATCCAGGCTGTGCTGTCCCTGTATGCCTCTGGTAGAACCACTGGTATCGTGATGGACTCTGGTGATGGTGTCACCCACACTGTGCCCATCTACGAGGGTTACGCCCTGCCCCACGCTATCTTGCGTTTGGATTTGGCAGGTCGTGATCTGACAGACTACCTCATGAAGATCCTGACCGAGAGAGGCTACTCTTTCACCACCACAGCTGAGAGAGAAATTGTCCGTGATATCAAGGAGAAACTCTGCTACGTTGCACTGGACTTTGAGCAAGAGATGATGACCGCCTCCTCCTCCTCCTCCCTGGAGAAGAGCTATGAGCTGCCTGATGGCCAGGTGATCACCATTGGCAATGAGCGATTCAGGTGCCCTGAGGCTCTCTTCCAGCCATCTTTCCTAGGTATGTCAATCGCTCAGTAATGTGCGAGTCTTGTTTGTATGGTGCAGACACCACAAAGATTAGCTGTTATAAAGTGTAGATGGTTATTAAAGTTCTGTTTCTCCTCAGGTATGGAATCTTGCGGTATCCATGAAACAACCTTCAACTCCATCATGAAGTGCGATGTGGATATCAGGAAGGACCTGTATGCCAACACTGTCCTGTCTGGTGGTACCACCATGTACCCAGGTATTGCTGACCGTATGCAGAAGGAGATCACAGCCCTGGCTCCCAGCACCATGAAGATCAAGGTAATGAATGGAAGAGTGATTTTTGTGCATTTTACCATAATTGATTTCAAAGCTGAAGTGTTTTGCCTGTTAAGAGTTCCTAAAGAATTTAAGTACTAACTGTTGCTTCTGTCACAGATCATTGCTCCACCTGAGCGTAAATACTCAGTCTGGATCGGAGGCTCCATCCTGGCTTCCCTGTCCACCTTCCAGCAGATGTGGATCAGCAAACAGGAGTACGATGAGTCTGGACCTTCCATCGTCCACCGCAAATGCTTCTAAACGGACTGTAACTGTCACACAAAGATCACGCGAGATGAATTGGCATGGCTTTAGTGCTTGTCTCAGGAATAAAAACTGGAACAGTGAAGGTGTTGGTGGTATCTTTGGCAACAAGCATCCCAGAAGTTCTGCAATGTGTTCGGACTGAATTGTACATTTAGTCATTCCAAATATTGATGTAAAGGATTGCATTGTCTAAGGTTAAATGCCTCTGTGAAGGCTGCCCGACCGTGGGAGCAACTACTTAACCTTGTGTAGTTTTGCTTATATGTAAATTATGTAACCGAAAAAAAAATTGTCCATTTTGTACTTTCCGCCTTAAATTTTCAGTCCTCTTTTGATTTTGGTATGCAAAAGGCTTTACCTTTATACAAACACAAGTGAGGTTTACATCCCCCTACCCCCCCGGGCATAAGATGAAACCATTTTAAAACTTGGTGATGCCAGTATGTGGGACCTACACTGACTAATACAATAAAGTGCACATGTTTAAACGGGAAACTTTGTTTTGTGTTTTCTATTTAGGCTCTGATTAGTGATTTTAGATAGTAACTTGTAACTAGGTTGTGGTGTAGAAGGTTTGGGTGGTGGTTGCCAGGTAAACAAGTTACATTTATATAGTGCCTTTTAGTCAGAAGGATGTCCCAAGGCACTGAGGAGTGCAAGGAAGTGTCAGCTGAGCCTGACTTGCACTGGCATCAGTATTTGCTTTAATGGTCTCATATGCTGTGCCTGCTATCCATTTGAAAATTGCTCGATTTAAACACATGGTGAAGTATTTGCACTTGGTGAGATTGAACATTTGAATATTTTTGTGAACTGATTACAGTTCCAAACCTATTCAATTGTACTTGGGTACTTCAATTGGCATTTAACCTAGTGTTCCTCTACAAGGGTGTACCACCTAGGGCAGACTTGGCCAAGTTAAATAAGAACTTGTGTTGGAAACACTACAATGTTTTACCATCCCTTCCAAGCTTCTGCCTATCTGGAATCTTCAAAGGTATCACAACTGTAAGGTGCACAATTTTTTACATCAGACTCCAATTGGTCTCCATTTAATTGTCACATTCACAACACTTCAATTGTCATGGAGCCATAACACTTAAATATAAATATTTACCTGATTGATGTCAATCAGAACATACATTTTCATATAAGTTCCCTGAAGAGGGAACATTTAAGGGAAGTTCCCTCCCTCAATTTTCATATGTTGAAAAAATGGAAGAAGAGCTAAAGTCTGACAAGGAGACAAGTGACGGATGGATTGTTGCACTGTTGCACTGGTCAAATCCTGCCAATGCTCTTCACCCTCCTTCACCCTTCCTATGTTTACAATATCCCTGAGACTTTGCTGCTTGCACTGTCTGCTCTAAACCTGGACCTGTCCAGCTGTTGCCCCCCACCCCACCACTGGGTTTCACTTGCTGCTGGTTTTCAAAACATTCCCCCCACTTTGATTGGGGTCCCACACCATTCCCCGTGAGGCTCTTTAATGAATGTTATCCTATTTGAAAGGCGCTGTGTTAAATTATGGGAGTATATTCCCAAAATACAGGTTCAGAGAATTTATACAGGTGCAACCTCAACACATTTGACATAAGAAATTGAGAAAATGACATGTATAATCAGCCACTACTTAATTATACAATTGGATTTCACGCGACAGTGACAACTTGTCTGAGCCTGATTAACAAACCTTACCACCCCTGCCTGAAATTTAAAATAAATAATAAAGGATAATATTTATATTATTCTAGGAATATTTGTGTACCATTGTTTACCTCCAGCTGCTATTGAACCATAAAGTCGGGGACTGCACACTTGCTAGCTTTTGATCCAATGACATACATCTGCATTATTTATTGGGCGGAGAACCCCATTACAAACGAATGCAATTCAGGAATTTCACTGCAAAGCCTCGGATTGATCAAAACTAAACGGAGTTGCCTATGTTAGCACCTGATGTCTGAGCAGCACAGGGCCATCTATAAATATGGAAATCACGCACTTACCATCATCTGCCTACATTTCTAAGAAATACTGAAACTTATCTTTCAAACTAATGCTGGGTGTCCTTCCCAGGTAATCTGCTTTGGCCCAGGAAAGAATATTGCAGGGCCACAGGGCTTCAAATGGCTTTGTACTTAGCCCCGGCCATTTTTGCTTAAAAATCCAACCAATGAATCGCGGAGGTTGGCAGCTGCCTTCCAATTCTCGCACATCTCCCCCGTACAGAAGTAGTTCAGATGCTGCTGATTATTCTCTTCCATCGCCAAACTGTGGGACTTGGGTGCCAAGCCCGGCTGCCAAAGATTCGCTCACCATAAGTGAAAAGATCGCCTACTTTCGTGCGCGTTACTCTTCGTAGTAAACACAATTCCATAAAAATACCGGGTTTGTAATGTGTCCCTTTCCTGAAAAACCAATCTCACCGTCGCCGTCACCGCTGACGGTCGTGTGGCTGCGAAGTATGGAAAGCAATACAGAGCCGGGATGGCTCTCCCCCCCTCCCCCCACCCCCACCTTTCCCAATCTGATCCTCTCCTGAAGGTGATTGATGGTTCGCGCTTCCCTGTCGCTCTCCGAGTGCTACTCTTCACCGGTGACCGCCCGCCCCACCATCGGCCCCGGGTCCATCTCCATGTCTGTCCAGCGCCTCGGGACGTCCGCCCGACGTGAAGGGCCCCGAGGCCACGTCATGTGCTGCTGTTGACAGGATTTATACTGTGAAGTGTAGTGACTGTGATTTGAAGGTGGCCCTCCCCTCCCCCACCCCTCCCCCCAGAGTGATGAGGCGGGCGATGAGGACAGTAACAGCAGCTCCACAGCCTCTCCTTGAAGTGACCTCTGTGGTGGGGGGAAGGGGATGTGGTGCACCGGATGAACCGGAAGTGGTGTCTGTGTCCGTCGGTTGTCAGGTTCCGGCGGTGATAGTGATGGTGAGAGACACAGATACACATAGAGAGACAGACAGAGAGACACACACAGAGACACAGACACACACACAGACACACACAGAGACACACACAGAGACACACAGAGACACACACAGAGAGACAGACAGAGACACACACACACAGAGACACAGACACACACAGAGACACACACAGAGAGACACACAGAGAGACAGACACACACACAGAGACACACACAGAGAGACAGACAGAGACACACACACACACAGAGACACACACAGAGACACAGACACACACACAGACACACACAGAGACACACACAGAGACACAGACACACAGACAGACACAGACAGGGAGAGGCCCCAGGCAGCGGGTTCTGTTTGTCAGAGAGAGACTCTCTCTATATATATAAATATGTGATTAGTTTAAAACCACATTTTAAATCGATTTTAGTTGATTAAACCCTCCCCTCCAGTGTCAGAGGAGTGACTGTGAGTGTGGTGGGGAGGCCTGGGCTGGGGAGGTGTTGTTGCTGTTGTTGTTGTGTGGGTGGGTTAGGGGTGGTGGTGGTGGTATTGGGGAGGGGGACATGGACAGGCAGCTGGACCTGGCTCTGTACCTGGATCAGCAGAAGCTCAGTCTGACCGAGTTCTCCGACGAAATCCTACTGAACATCCTGAGGTTTGTGCCCAGCTGTGATCTGTTGCTGAATGTCAGGAGAGTGAATAAAAAGTTTGGGGCTCTGTGTGTGGACAAGAGCCTGATCAGCTCTGTCACTCTGCACAAAGAGTATCAGGTAAATATGCACCTTGTGTTGTACTCTCCCCCCAACCTTCATAATCTGCATCGACCCCCACTGTCTTTCTCCTCCTCCACCTCATCATCAAAGCATTCATTCCCCTTTGTTTTTAGAGGGTACAAGTGTCAGTTTTATTAGCGGTAAATTCATCTCGTCCATACAATTGCATTGCTGACGGTGTGTTGTATTGGTGGAGTTGCTGTGCTTTGGATGAACTATTAAATTGAGACCCTGATTGTTCTGTCTTCAGCGAGATGTTAAAGATTTATGTGACACTATTCGAAAGGGAATGGAGTTTCTCCTGTTGTCCTGGTCGACAAATTCCCCAAATAAAACTGTGGTCCTGGTCGTTCACTCTGTGGCTGTTTGTGGAACATTGCCATGTGCAGATTGGCTGCTGGGTTTGCACACAGCAATGTCCGACGTACAGTTGTCACACAATCATAGTACTTATAGTAAATCCTGCGAAGAGCTTTGAGACGCGAAATGTGAAATGGGTCTTAAACCAATAATTTATTTCTTTAAAGCAAGCAGTTAAAATATAGTTTTTCCGATCAACTCTCAAAATTAGGATTGGACCAATTCTGTCTTATTCATTGGTCCAGTAATGTTAGTCTGTGTCCTGAATCTCATTTCCTGAATTTCATTCTTATTTAGTGTTTGAATGGGATCGAAGACCATGACAAAACTTGTATATATTTGCTGCACCCTTCAGAAAGTGTATCTTTCTCACTGAGTGCATAGCAAGTGTCAAATCATGGGCTTGACAATGAGTCTTTGCAGACAATTCAATCACTATGGAGGAGGGTCAAAATCAATCCTTCCCTGTCTGGTATCTGCAGGCACAATTCTGACAGAAATTGCTGGTCAATTATCAGTAATGGGAACAGGTTTTATTTTATTTTGATCAATGGTAACTGTGCTTTGTGCTGTCCTGAAGCTGGGACTTTGGCGGTTTGTATAGTTCAGCAAATCCGAATCGCACAACACAATGAGCAGAAAATACACCTGTTGAACTGGGTTGCATTTCTTGGTGCGTCAGACGAGTGCTGCAGAATTCAATCTGAAGATATGAACTTTATTTCGGCAGAAAGTAACCACTGGAGGGCACTTTACCAAATGGGCATCGGCAGTGAGGCTTGTGGGCTTACAGCTAACTAATCCTTACACTGATCTGCGGTTACCTGTAACTCTGTCACTCCGAAACAGACTGCCTAGTGTCAGCTTAGACTATGTCAGGACCAAGTCCTGACGTGGGGGCTTGAACCTACAACGAGAGCGCTACCATCTGAGCCAGGCTAAAAACATTGAACCGTCTCTAAGCACTTCACAGGTAACTGCTGCCAAGTGTAGGGTCCGTGAATTGTTTCAGGGCAGCTGATTTGGGCACGGCGGCAAGGCCGCACAAATAGTCTCGTGGTGAGTGAATTGACGCAGAGGATCGCTGGCCAGGATCAAGGGGATGTTGGGGGGTGAAGTCCAAGCTCTCATTTCTCAACTGTTTAGCTTCTGAGGAAAAGACTCAGCAGCTTTTGAACTAAATGGCTGCTTTCTTTCTCTCCCTCCCTCTCGGCCCCCTCCAGGGAAGCGATGAGAAGGTGACGCGTCTCCTGAGGGAGATAGCCCACGACATTCAGCTCCTCAAGCTGAGCGGCTGCTACTGGTTGTCCAGCCCCACCATTGACCTCGTGACAAAGTGTAAGAACATAGTGAAGTTGGACCTGTCGGGCTGCCGCCTGACCTCGCTGCGTCTCTCCAAGATGCTGTCTGTCTCCCAGAGCCTACGCTCTCTGGCCATCGACATCCACCAGGGCTTTGACGCCAGCCAGCTGAGCAGCGAGTGCAAAGCCACGCTTAGCAAAGTGACGGAGCTCAGACAGACCCTCCTCACCCCCTCTTACGGTGTCGTGCCTTGCTGTACCAGCCTGGAGCGGCTGCTGCTGTACTTCGAGATCGCTGACCGCACCAGGGAGGGTGAGATGGTGTCGGGGCAGCTGATGGTGGGGCAGAGCAACATCCCTCATTATCAGAACCTCAAAGTCTTCTACGCTCGCCTATCCCCGGGCCACGTGAACCAGGAAGTGGGGAGGTTCTACCTGTCGGTGCTGAGTATCCGTACCCCCGAGGACCTGCGAGCTTTCCTGCTCTCGGCCCCCGCCAGCTTTGTGGATGCTGGCTGCTCCACCAAGAACTTCCTAGACCGAATGGCCAAGAGCTTCACCCTGGAGGCCCTGCAGCTCCCTCGCTCCTGGCTCAACGGCTGCTCCTCGCTGCTGCACAACATCCAGTTCCGCGACCCCCTGGTCTACCTGAACTTCAGCCGCTGCTCGTTGTCGGGCTGCCAGCTGACCCGCCAGGTGCTGCATCGCAGCCGTAATGTGTCGTCTCTGGCCAGCCTGAACCTGCACGGTTGTGGGCATTGCCTGTTGCTGCTCTCCCCCGACTGCTCGCCCGCCACTGGACGCAAGGCCGAGGAGGAGGTGGACCTGGAGGTGGCCGAGACGCTGGTGGATTGCTGCCCGCAGCTCAGGCACCTCAACCTGTCGGCAGCTCATCACCATTCCCCGCACGGCAACACCGCAGCCGCTGACACCACCAACACCACCGACACCAACAACACCGGGCACTTGTGCTTGCTCCTGGCCAGGCTGAAGCGGCTGCGCTCGCTCTCGCTGCCCGTCTGCTGCCTGGGGGACAAGCCGGCCTCCCCACACTCAGCACCGAGGGGTCTGGGCAAGAAGGTCCGGCTCGGAACTCCCAACTACCCGGCCAAGGCGAGGGACACCGAGCCCCAGCTCAGCCCGAGTGCCTTCAGAGCGATGTTGGACAGCGTGCCTTTCTTGGAGGAGCTCGAGCTGATCGGCAGCAGCTTCTCTTCCAACATGCCTCGCAACGAGCCAGCCATCCGCAACGCCCAGCCCCCCTGCGAGCGGGCGCACAGTGTGCGGGAGGAGGAGGTGGCAGCCATCGAGCGCTTGCAGCACCTGCGGGCACTCACCCTGGCACAGCTGCCTGGCCTCCGCACAGGGAGCGGGCTGGTGGGCATCGGGGTCAAGTGCCAGCAACTGCAGACCCTGTCCCTTGCCAACCTGGGCCTGCTGGGCAAGGTCGCTTATTCCCCAGCCTTGTGTGAGATGCTGAAACACTGCAGACAGCTGAAGGACCTCAGGTGAGAGAGAGAGGGAGAGAGGGAGGTGGAGGTTTAGAGAGGCTCTTTCTGTAAATAATAATTATAATAATAATAATTATTGAGGGCGAAAATGTGCTCCACTCACTGCATATTTCACACTCACTAGAGAGTGTCTGATGTTTGGCAGCTCTCCACGTAATCTCATTGTGTTGTCTGTATAACTGCACCGACAGAGATGTGTCTGGGGGGGTGGCCGGGGGTGTGGGTGTGGAGGCTGGTTTCTGGCTGACAGAGGATGAAGAATCTACCTGTGTGACTGAACGTAGATGAGCTCCTCTCAACGATAACTGGAGACACTGTCCATTCCCATAGAGCCCGGGGCAGGGGGTAATTGAAACGGAGCAGCAGCACTTTGCAGTTACAGTGATTTAATCTCACGCTGCCCCGCTGTTAATTTATTAGCTTTGAACGTTTCTCGCTCAAGGTTGGGAAATTATTGCCACCACCATCACTGCTGGCAAGGTCTATCTTAGCTTTTAAATTCCCATTTATCTGGTCTCTAATATGGTTCTCTTTCCCCTCTCCCCACCCCCCACTCCTTCAAAAATAAGTCAACTTGTTCAAAATTCACCGTCCGTTTTGAAACCCGGACACTTTTTAAATTGGTCACAATGGCTGAGTGTGATATTGAGCTGCCATGATCAAAGGCACCTCTGGCTGTCCTTCTGCTGGATTACCGGGCTCCCTCTGGTACTTGCCAAAATAGTTTCCCCTTGCGAATTTCAGTATTCGTTACTTTTCAGTATTCATTCTCCTTTCCTCCCAGTTACATCCAAACAGCCATGAGTTGAGTGACCTGTTTAGCTGGAGTACAATGCTGGCCAGGTCACCTTCCCTCTGTTCCAGCCCAAGTAAATGTCAAACTCCCAGGGTTGACTCCCTGTCTGTGCAGCTCACTGCAGCCTGTCCAGGAGAGGAGAGGGACCTGTACCCAGGCTCCTGTTTCACGTTGCTGTCTGGTGACCTCTGCTGGGAAGCGTGTGTGTGTGTGTTCAGCTCTGACAGTGGAGTGAACAGTTGCTGGCACTTGCTGTGCAGCCTCACACACGGCAACATGTCTGCTTGTTGAGGTACCAGAGCATTTCTGATACAACAACAACAACAACAACAACAAAATTACATTGATACCCGTGTAACACTAGTGGGAGTAGGGACTTGGTGCTCAGTGGTCAGGATTATAGATTTTGTTTGTTTGCTTAAGTTGCCGGTCAGCTTCCACTGTTAGGATTCACTCTACCCAGTCGCCATCTGCAGACGCTCATGTTTGTTCGGTTGATGCTCTGCATATCCAGTCCTGTTGGATCTAATAATGATAATAATCCTAGCTTTTGATACAGCGCCTTATCAAGCCTTCGAGACGTCTCAAAGCGCTTCACAGAGTACAGCAGCCAATTGCGCACAGCAGCATCCCCACAAACAGCCGTGGGTTGAAGTGACCAAATTCTCATTAGTATTTTTTTGATCTGCAGTGGCTCTGAGCAACGACTTGTTTGTTACCCGCGGCTAGTGATCTGTCCTTCAGTGATCGTGTTCAGTGGTACATTGTTCGTTTTGCGGAGGATGTTTTTTGGAGACAAAGCTGAGACCAAGGGAGTGATCTTTGTGGCCAGGAAATGCTTGTTTGTATTGCGAGGCAGAATTAACATACGTAAAACTACAGTCTTGAATAGCATTTACCTGATTAGGCTGGATTGGGACTACAGGGACTCAGTTTTGACTGTCTGCCGAGCTTTAACTGCCAATAGCTATTAGCTACTAATGCCGCTTGTACTAGCCAGCCAGCTGCTGTCTGATCACTCCAGGTCCCCTTTGGTCTCTGTACAGTCTGAGGAAGAACTGTTGGTTATGTGCAAAATCCTGCCCATTAAGACGTGAGCACAGCCACAGCGCACTTGAATTTTATTACCGCATTTAGTCGCCTGTGTTTATAATGGGTCAGGGGACACCGCCTGCATCTTTAGGTACATTTGCATTAATCCTTGTATTTGATTCTGTGCCTATAATGTCAGCGTCTCAACGCTTTTCCAGGTGGTTGCTGTCAAAGTCTAGTAACCGTGTTATTTGTCGGCAAACGCAGCAGCCAATTTACACAGGGTAAGGTCTCACAAAACAGAGGGGCTGCTATATAAATGCGGGTTGTTGTTGAGCTGTGTGGCCTGGCTTTGATCTCCCCTCTCCTCTCATGCTCTTTTGTGTTGTTGTTGTTGTTGTTGTTGTAGGCTCGAGCAGCCGTACTTCTCAGCAAACGGGCAGTTTTTCCAGGCTCTCGGCCATTGCGAGGCGCTGGAGCGACTGTGCGTGGTGTCTCGGCACGGAACCTTCCAGCACGATGCTGTGGTGTCGTTCATGACCAAGTGCCCAAACGTGGTGATGTGTCACATGTTCACGGGGGAGACCCTGGTGGCCTGTCGGACCCTGCAACAGACGCTGGTTCAGAGGTGAGTGAACGACGGACAGACCGGGTCTGGCCAGTGGGGCCGTTGGCCATCCTGAGGGCAGGTATGGCTGTCGAGGCGAGTCAGTGCGGAGAGCACTCGAAAGTTCCCTCATATTTATTGCTTCCAAAGTGCTGCTGAAACGCTGGGGCTCTCCCCGCCCGCACAGTGACTAAGGTGGTCAAAGCGCCGGCCACTCTGGAGCTGAGCCGCACAGATCTGACAGGGTTCAGGCCCAGCGTGTACTGGGGTATCCATGTCTCCCACCTGAGCCTCCCATCGGTGGCCGGGCTTTCAGCCTCTCTGCTCCCACACTCTGGAACTCCATCGTACGGTCCCTTGGCCTCGCTTCCTCCCTCACCTCCTTCAAGGCCGGTCTCAAGACCCTTCTCTTCGACAGTGCCTTTGGTCTCCCTCCCACCTCTCTGCTTTCCCTCACCCCTACCCCACCCCTCCCCCACGCTCGGGCCCCGACACCTGACTGTTCGGCGCTTTGGGGCGTCCTCCCGACGTGAAAAGCGCTCTATAAATGTAATTTTGTTGTTGTTGTTGTTGGGGTAGTGTCTCAGCTAAGAGAGAGAGAGAGAGCGAGAGAGAGGAAGTGCTGTACAGCGATTGAGATTGCCAGTGAGTGACAGTTTGGAACCAACAGGAATATCGAAGCTTCACTGACCATCAATCACTGGACAGCACTTCAGGGCGAGTGACTGCGATGCCCTCTGTGGCTGTGAGCTCCTGGGCATGAGGGAGTGGCGTTCCCAAGGGTCAGTATGACACACATGCACATACTTCCAGACAGGATTCAGTATTTACAATCTTTCCCAAATCTTTTTATGAATAGCGGGTTTCCAACCCCCGCCCCATACCCTTGTCCCAGAGATTTTAGGAGCTCAGCTGAGATGCCATTGGATCATGGCCTTCCTCCGTGCACTTATTTAGTTATCCCAGATATTCATTACTCCATAACTCTAGAGGGGAATTTGGTATTTAGGAAATTTAGGTAATTTTGTAACTGACGTGGGGTGGGGGTGGGGGGGTGGGGGGGGTGGAGTGTGTCCAGGAATTCCTCTACACTGACAGTAGGGGGCAGTGTTGTAAGGCCATACGACCGTAGTTGACAAGTTCTGTCGATGACTAATACACACTGTGACGTGTGTTCTGTAACGCAGATCCAGGCCATAATATTATTGTCCGAGAGCAAAGCGCAGCCAAAGTGTTTGTACCGCAGGAATGTAAAGTGCTGGACGTCATATTCCTAAGCAGTTGCTTCGAGAGAAAGATGCTGTCCAGTAGGGAGGTAGCATTACATTGACTTTCTGCAGCCCTTCACTTGACTGTTTTTCCCCCTGTACACAGGAAGAGGGATAGTGCTGCAGCAAGGCTCACAGAGTAATTAAACCTTAGCTTAGCACGCTTAATATTCACTGGTAAATGATACCCGGTAGGAAAATGGGGACAGAGAGTGGCTTTAAAGTACACGTTCGCCCACAAATATACAGTCAATTCACTTTACAGTGTGTTCTGTGAAGCGCTTTGGGACGTCCTCCCGACGTGAAAAGCGCTATATCAAATGCAAGGATCATTATTATTATTATTATTACACCTGTATGCCACAGATGTGTCCTCCACACACTGGATTTTGCTAACTACATGTATAGTATTTTGTGGTCTGTGTGTGTGTCTGTGTGTGTATATCTGTGTGTGTGTGTCTGTGGGTATATGAGAATGGGTTTTAGCAAAAAAAAGCACAAGTGCAATTTAGTTTCTTATATAACACGTCTATGATTTCCTTATAGATAATTTACAGGTGCTTCACAGCAAGCTTTGAGGTGCTAATCTGTGGGTATTTTTACTGTCACATTTTTTTTCCTCCTCTAATGGCATTGGCTTGTGCTGGGAGAATGTTTCACAGGACCCAGTCGTGCTTGGCTGCATTGCCAAGTGACCATTTTTTACCTGCGAGTGAGCACAGTAGTAATAATAATATAATAACAATATAATAGTAATAATAATANTTTTTATATAACTTTCGATATAGCACCTCTTCACATCGTTGCACTGTCAGAAAACGATGTACAGGATTTTATTGTGAAGTGTAGTGACTGGGTATTTGTAGGCAAAGGTGGCAGCCAGTTTGCTTTACAGCAATGTCCCACAAACAGCTGTGACATGACGCTGCTCTTGTCTAACTGAGCTGCACTTTCCAACAAGGCTCTGTGGACAGCTTTGCAGCACAGTTACTAGTGGGTTTGTAAGGTCCACCTGAGTTTGTGAGGGTCAGGAGGATTACTGGCCACCCTCCCTTCCCTCCTGCGGGGGCTAACACCCAGTGTGAGGTGCTGCTTCCTGCCTCCGATCCACTAACTCCTCACACGTCAGGGATCCAATCTGGGACCTGCTGTGTCTCTGTGTGTTGGTTGCCTTCCAGTCGCTGGCTCTACCTGTCCATGGAGGGAAGCGTGTCACCAATGTAGGATAGGTCCAATCATGGACGGTGGAGTTGCTATGGGAGTCCCTCTCTAAAGCTGCCAGGAGGCATAGATACAGATTTTTTATCATGTAATCAAACCGCACAATGCAGAGTGCGGAGCTTCTGCATTTTCCCCCCTCCGCCCCATCTCTCACTCCCTTACCCCCTCACCCCCCATCCCCCCCCCCCACCCGCCCCAGGCACTCTCCCCACGCCCCCTCCCTTTCCTTCCAGATCAATGTTTTCTTCCACTTTCACTGCAGTGAGATGTGTTGACAATTACAAGGAGCAGAGAGTACAAATACTTGGTTTGTTTGAAGGCTGCAGTTTGCCGGTTTCACTCCTTTTCTCTGCCTTGAAATATGCTCCACATTGACACGAAGCAACGGGATTGCTATGTGATGACTAGTTTTATTTAAATTCAGAGCGTTAACATCCAGGGTCCCTTGCGTTAGTCTAGCAAGTACCCTTTCCCAGCTTCTAACCCCAACATTGGTCTTTAGCTCATGCCAACAGGTATGAAATATTTATTTGAGCCCAGTCAATCATTATTGAGTCCTGACTGCCCTGATGGTATAGTTTGATGTGTCAACCAGCCCCCACGTCAATTTGATCATTCACTTCATGGCTGTAAGTGGAGCATCGCTGTGCTGCTCGCTCTGCAGTCACTACACATTACAGAAACCTTGTGATACACCTTGAGATGTTACAATAATAACCCTAGCATTTGATAAGGTGCCTCATCTCATTCAAACATCTCAAAACCCTCCATGCTGCGTATTTGTCGATGAACTCGGCAGCCAAGCATTCCAGAAACAGCCATGAAGTGAATTAACAGTTTATTGTTATCTGAGGGATTATTGTCCAGGATACAAGGAGAAATTCCCCACTCTTTTGAAATAGATTCACAGAATCTTTAACGTCTACCTGAATAGACACAGAAGGAGCTCGGTTTAACGTCTCATCTGAAAGACAGCACCTCCTGAAATATTGCGGTTTCCTTGCACTGAGTTGGAGCGTCAACCTCGACTTCTCAAAGTTATATCAGATGGAAGGATTATTATTATTATTCATTATCATTTGATCCCGTCTTACTGCATTTAAACCCAGTTTGTTCAAGGGTCCAGAGGGTTCAAACATGCAGAGGAGCTTTCCAGGCTGCACCCTTTATATTGCTCACATGGTAGAGGGAGTTGGCAGATGATCCTGACATAAAGACTGGCCCGTGGGTTGCAGTATTAATCCTGCTTGTGTTTTGAGCTGTTGACTATGATTCATTCTGAATGGGAGCATGAAGTGTAAACACAGTGGATTTAGTCAATGTGATGAGAATGTAGAGTGAACAGCAGTCCGTTCGCTCCCAATTAACTCTGGCTTAAGTGCAGGAGAAGCAAGTGTAAGCATTTGATCCAAAGCCGTTTGGAGCTGGTGCCCCATGGAGCACCGTGTATGTCTAAGATATTAGTAATGTGTGCGATGATTGTTTGCTCAGGAAGTCTGCTCAATGGGCAAGACCCTCTACAAAGTGCTTTTGTTGTGACTACTTTGCACAAATCCTAAATGGAAAGGACCTGACCCAACCCAATAAAACCATATGTGAGGATATTATGTGTTTCGACCACTCAAACTTACCGTGTTTTTCCCTGTGTAACTTTACGATTTCTAAGCATCTCTGTAGCAAGTGTAACTAATATGTTCACAGAAGTTTGACCCATTTGAGTATAGCAGATATCCTTGATCTGTTGATCTTACAACATTGCAAAATATATATTGTAGCAGAGATCAAAAGCCTTGCATTATGACACCCATGAATTGAGAAGTGGTTGATAGCGGTGGTTTGATTTTTCTGCCGGGGGGGGGTGTGGGGTATTTGCATGCTGCCTGTGGTGGTGGGGGCGGTGTTTGATCTCGCGGTGTCTGAGGGAGTGGGAGCAGAGCACACGTCGTGCAGCTTTAACGCTTTCTTCCACCAGTATTTTTCCTTTGAGAATAAAAGAACCTTAGCGCAAATGTCTAAGTGCTGAGTCTGCGTGTTACCTGCCGTCTTCTCCAGTCTTCTCCAGTTCACAGGTTGCAGCTCTGCACTTGCACAGATACACCTTTAGGCAACTTCCATCTTGTGCTGTCTGGGCTATTGTTAATCTTCATGACTGTGTTCAGTGGTTTTAAGCGATGTAACTCCTTGTTGACTCTGTGCCACACTGTGTGGTATTAATAAGATACATGACTGGCTTGATTTTGGGTGAGTGATTAGAGAGAAATAGTGAGCTGGACCTTTGTAACTATCCCTCCAGGCTTGTGAGTTATGTGTGTGTGTCAGTCAGCGAAGAAGAAATGTTCATAGAACTTAATTTACTTGGGGTTGTTACCATGGAGATCAAATTCTTTGAGCTTTCAACCACTTTGTTTTCTCTCCTCCCTCCCCCGGTATCTGGCACTCTCTCCTTAAATCCTTCGGCCTTTCACTCTCTCTCTCTCTCTTTCTCTGTGTGTCTCTCTCTGCTTTTAAAACCAGTATAAAGAACCACCTCTT